TAACCAACTGAGCCACCCAGGCGCCCTGCTTTAATTAATTTATAGATTATCTCATTTTTATGAACTGATAATTACTTAGTATGTCATATCCCGAAGTCTTCCAAGATAAATGGTTTAACAGAATAACGAGTCATTTAAAAAAAAAAAAAGAAAAGGTTTTTGTGGCAAAACAAGTTTGAAAACCACGAAGTGGTTTCTTTACTGCAGAGGCTCTGAGATTCTTTAACATGGTAATATGTATTGGGAATCTCCACCATAGAGATAACGTCTCCCATACCTGTTTTTCTATGGAATTCTTTCTGAGTAGCATATCTTGTGAAACTGGAATTCCTCTACACATGCGTTAATCCTTTACTAATATCATTGGCAAGGATTAGAAATATTAATAAATGATGGGGCCCCTGGGTGGCTCAGTCGGTTAAGTTGTCTGCCTTTGGTTCAGGTCACGACCTCAGGGTCCTGGGATTGAGCCCCGCATCAGGTTCCTTCCTCAGCGGGGAGCCTGCTTCTCCCTCTCCCTCTGCTGCTCTCCCTGCTTGTGCTCTCTCTCTTGCTATCCCTCTGTGTGTCAAATAAATAAAATCTTTAAATAAATAAGTAAGTAAGTAACATAAGGCAGTCAAATTTTCTAACAGAAGGAAAGATCCTCCCTCCCCTGTCTTTGGTTCATGAACTTTTGGTTGAATGAAGTGCTTGAAACACTGACCACTGATAAGACAAAAGAAACCACCTTTTCATTAATAATGAAAATATGTTCAGGCACTTGGCCTTGAGCAGACGAGGGAAGCACGAAATCGATGCTGTCACAGATACCTACCATATAACTCAGATTGGTAAACTGCCAGCCACAAGCCTACATCCATTTTACCTGCAAGAACTCATTGAAGGTGAATTGTTTTTGTGAGGTAATTTTGCAAATTGTCCCCCCAAAGCACTTGCCCACAGTTTGGGGCCTGTTTGCCCTTCCAGGTTACCAGGTTCCAGGCTAATCTGGTACACATTTCGGTAAGGATTACTGTGATAGCAACGGTTCTCTTTTTATAAATAATTGGTAGCTTGAGTTGGATAAGTCCCCTGAGTATTTAGGTTCAGGTATATTTCTTATAAACTCTTATCAGAGTGCAGTTCTTCTCATAATGCCTGCTCTGCATCCTTAGAAGTTGTTGATAATGGTGACAGAGGTTAGGATCCATTCATGTATGAGTTTCTTTTTAAAACATCAGCTAGAGGGGCATCTGGGTGGCTCAGTCGGTTATGCATCCAACTCCTGATTTCGGCCTGTGGTTTCAGGGTTGTGAGTTTGAGCCCCACGTCGGGCTCCACACCCATGCTTAAGGTTCTCTCTCCCTCTTCACCTCCCCTCTCCCTCTCTTGAAAAAAAAAAATCAGCTAGATTCTTACCCATCAAAAACAAGTTTCCAGTCATGTGAGCTCGTTAAACAATTTGTTGATACAAAAGACAGTTAAGCAAAACAACCAGCTATAGACATGGTTTTAAGATTTTAACCTAAAATGAAAGTCCTATCATTTATTTATACTTAACAACAAATGACCACTACAGACACTTGAAATCATTTATTCAAGGCATTTTTACATAATCTTGCAATCCATAATATAAGCATATAATAAAAGAATGTGAGAGTGTAAAGAAGAATATAAAGCCAGTGTCTGGGCATTTAAAATAAGAGCTCTTCAAAAAAGTTACAAATGTTTTACACATAGGTTACCTGAAAAATTTGGAAGAAATTAAAACGTCATTAAAAACATTACTATACCAGATCACATGTCACTTAGTTCGTAGCAAGCAGTTATATATTAATTAAAAGTTTATATCCTGTGAGCTAAGACTTAATACATTTTACATTCAAGTTGAAATATTTCAGCACCATTTTGGTTTGAAGGATAAATGAAATGCTTTAAGTGTTCAAAAGGGGCCCAGGACTTTTGGTAATTGGGAATGAAATTGAGCTGTTAATTGAATATGTTGATTGTGAATATGAATTCTAGACATAGAAAGTATAGAAAAAGGGTAATTTTTACTTATCAGTGATTATATGGTTAATATCAAAACAAGTTATGTTTAAAACAAAATATTGTCTGTATTTTCAGAAAGTTTGCTGAAGATGAATTCTCAGTGCCACAATCATTTTAGTGCACTGAATTTCCTCCAGAATCTGAATATTGGGGATGTTTGTAAGTGTGATTATCCTATGAGATGTCAGAGAGAGAAAAAAATTGCTCATTATTATGAATAATACCTTGTGAATAATTAGATGATAGAGATTGTGAATAAAATTACTATGTAAAAAAATATAGATTTCCTGGAAATAGGCAATGGATTCTTGTGGATACGTGTGGATTCGCATGTTATAGTACTGTTGGGAGACTGAATCTTAGCCTCAAAAGTCAAGACATCTTTAATCTAGACTATGGTCTGAATAATTATGAAGCCACTAATATGGCATATGGAAGGAGTCAATAAATTATTTTCCTATTTAGCCCATTTTTTTCAGAGTCTTTATTAGTCTAAAAGCCAGTCCCTTTTCAGTACTCAACATTCTTAGGTTTACTTCTACTTCCTATTGTAAAAATATTTTATGTGGAATTTGGTAAGACTGGATTAGGTTTTTTATTTAAATTTTATTAATGGATGACTTTTACCAGCTAATCATTATACGTGAGTTTTTGTGGTTATTCAGAGGAGAGATCCCTTGATGTTCAAAAATATTAAGTGTTAAATCAATACTTGGGAGTTCTTTGGGAGTGTTTTAGGCATAGGAGGAAAGAATATTTATATAAGGGATAAGCAAGAATCTTTAGCTTCCTAATTGAAACTTTTTTTTTTTCAAAATCAACCAAATAGTAGGTGTTATATTTAAGAGGCAGACTTTTCAAGGATTGAAAACATAGTTTTAATTATTAGTAACACATACATGCATATAACTATTTATTTTAACTTATTTTTTAAAATAAAATATGGTCATGAAAAACAATAGTGCTAAAAATAGAAAATTTTAGACATGTACTTATAGTTGTTAAAAATGAAATAAGGTGAACCTAAAGGGTAATAATGATATTTTTAATACTTATTGAGGTTAGAGGACAGGGTTTTTTTTATATCCCAAGCATGTAAGTGCCTGACATGTATTAGGCCCTCAAATGATGATGGGTGGACAGACAGATGGAAAGCTCAGTGAATGATAGTAAATGTCTTCTCATATGTGTCCAAAGACCGTAATATAGTGTTTACAGGGGTAAGAATCTCAATGAAATGATAGGCCTTAATGTGTAGATGCCAGTCTGGCTCAGTATTAATACTGACAGTAGTTTTGTTTTGTTTTGTTTTGTTTTTTAAAAAAGCAAGTATATTAAAATACCTCTATTAGAAAAGACTATGACTTGAAAGGATGATCCTACAGTCTTAAAACTAAAAAAGCAACGTAAGGCAAAGAGGTACATCAAAGAAGCTACTCCATAGCTCAGGTACTAGCTCAGTGAAAGTTCTGGGCTCTCTCAAGCTGCATTCTCTGTTGGTAAGTATGTGCCCTGGCAGATGAGGATGGCATCCACCCCGGGATGACTGTCCATCTCTAGCCCATCTTGCTGCGCTGGGCATTAGTGAGTGCAGGATGACTCTTAGGAGTTGGTGTTGACTTCACAACTCTGTGACATACGATACAGGGATGCCAACTCACTTTTAAATTTTACCAAACTAGAAATCCCTCGCTGGAGATTTTAATACTGGCTAATGTAGGAAGACTTCTGCCTAAGCCCTGCTAACTTAAAAGTGTCATTTGATTTTTCTCTGTACCTTTTGGAACTAGGAAAAAAAGCAATCTTCCAAATTTTGTTGTGGCACATGGTTTCACAGTTTTAAAATAAAATCACAGCTGTCTCATTATGCAACACAGTCGTTTGTTTTACAGAAAGTTATTTTTTTTTCCCTTATTCACCAACTCCTCAACTATGTAATGTTATGTGCTTTGCTAATTTGGTTTATACTTCAGACACACAGAAAGAAAAACAAAAAACATGTATTACTGAGTCCTGGATGACCTGATAATGTTCCTATATCTAGATATTATGTTATGTACTCTGGATAATTTAAATTTTTTTTTTTTAGCATTCTTCATTTTAAAGCTGAACATTAAAAAAAAAATGTAGAAAAGCTGAAAATCCTAAGATGTTTTTCATTAATGTTTTAAAATATTTGAGAGACAGTTGTGGTTTTGGGAACTTGTTTGTATGATTTTTATGTCAACCAGGAAAATTTTTCAGTTAACTGTTCTACATACTTAAATGCATACATAGTTTCTCTGAATGTATCACATCTATATCAGAATGACTTCCCATAGACAAAGCTGTCCTCCATACACCAGTCCCCAGAATGGTGATTTTAAGAATGCCACTCAAAAGGTCTGCCCATAGGAAAATTAAAGAATTGAGGCAGCATCAACGAATGTTAGACAGGAGTTAGGCAGCTCAGTTACTTAATTTGTTCCGAAACAAAAGCTGACTTAAGTCAGAATAAAATTGTACACTTAACAGAAAGACAGGAGTTTACTAATTTTAAAATGTAAACATAAAATTTTATATAGGGATGTAACTATCTGAGTACATATATTGCCATTTCTCTGCTATATAGTAATATTTCTTGACACCAATGGTAATGTTTGTTCCTTCGTCAGCACCAAATGTGTCTGTATCTGTTTGAACAGTAGGAGCCTCCTTTCTAAATTAATCTATGCTAAGACAAATACAAGCCAGTTATTGTTATGGTTCACTGAAATCAAGAAAATTCTCAGTTAATAGTAATTTTGGTTCATTCACTAAAATGTTATTTTCCCTTTTACACTATAATTTCCAAAGGAGCATAACAAATTTGGATTTCCTTCAAAGAGCCAAAGTGTACATCTACAGAATGGAAACACTGTGTTCATTCACAAAGTAATATGAATAATATTAAAAATTTCCCAAGTAATGCCAATTTAAATGTTCAAAATCCAGTTATGTGCTTTGTTATAAAACAGTCCAAACAAAAATTCCTTTGTTGCTTTCTGTTCTCTCTTTCAAAATCTATAAATCCTACTGAAGTTAATCTATTTTTTCCCACTTCAGAACACCAGGCACTGATTTATCCATTAGGAGTTTTGGCTTGCTTTCTAATACCTAGATTAAGAAAACAAAATAAGACAAATTATTAACTTGATAATATTCTGAGTGAGTACAGTAGACAAGTTTAACATTGACCCTTTAAAAATCATTTGTAGTAATTTCCCTCCATGTATGCAGTAGTCACCTCGTGAAATTACCCAATACATTATTTTAATAATGTTTGAAGGAAGCGACTATGTTAGCTGCCGAAAGTGTATGCCTGATACCTACAGACTTAATGTTCAGAGTTAAAAGAAACAGCCTCTGAATTAATCAAGAGTAAAGCAGGACTCAGAGGACCAGCAGCCCTGTCCAGATGAGTTCACTCCATGGAGTGGGGCGTGTCCACCTAGAAGCAGGTTCATGGCCACTGCACCATCTCGGGTTACTCCTTTCCCAGCGTGGTTTTGGATGTAAACGGATGCCTTCAAAGGCAGAGACTGAGTCAAAGCCAACCAATCCAATATGTCATTTATACTGTGATCATAGATCCCCATGTAAAGAAACTAAGCAGTCCAAATCATAAACCAGTGATTTCCAAATATTAAGTTTTGTGAGAGGAGAAATTAATCGTAGTATCATAAAACTGAACTGGGCCACAGTCCCTCAGTCCATTTTTTTGTTGACAATGAGGAAAAAGAGGAGAGAGGTGGAACTCCTGGGTGGTTAAGTGTCCAGCTCTTGGTTTCAGCTCAAGTCATGATCTCAGGATTCTGAGATCGAACCCTGCATTGCGTGCTTAGTGTGGAGTCTGCTTGACGTTCTCTCAATCCCTCTGCTACTGCCCTAGCGTACATGTGTGTGCGCCATGTGCTCGCTCTCACTCTCTCTCTGTCTCTAAAAAATAAATAAATCTTAAAAAAAAAAAAAGAAGAAGAAGGAGAGTGGATATATCAAAGGCACACCCTGTCCTCCTGGGTAGTTTTTACGCACCAGTGGAAGGTTCTCCAGTATGTGATTAGCATGAAAACACTGAGCGAACTGAGGGGTGATACGTCTTGAAGAGTTAAAAAGGTACAATAACATTACCAAGGGAATCACATGCCGCGCTGTTCTCAGAACCACCAGACTGACCACGCAGCTTTAGGCAAGTTACACTCCTTGCTCAAGGAACTTCAAAGACTCCCCATGGCCTTCAGAATGAAGTTCAAACTTTCTAGCTTGCTCTTCAGTGCTCCCTTTGATCTGGTCCCAACTTACTCTTCCATCCTTTTCGCCCAAATCTTAACTCCTTAGCCACACTAGAAGACTTGGTTTTCCAAATATGCCCTGCAGTTTCTCCCTGCTGTGGGGTGGCCAATGATGCTGACTCCTCCTGGCATGCCCTTCCTTAACTGCCCCCCAGGCCAGTCCTCCTCAGCCTTCAAGGCCCAGTTCACATGCTGTCCTAAAGCCACTCCTGAATCTCAGCCAGAGGAAATCTCTCCTTCCTCTGGACGCCGATTCCCAGCAAGGGAGACCAGAAGCAAAAGTCAGAATAAAGGAGGCAGGCATCGTTCTCCTGAAGGTGAGGGTTCCTTTCTCAAGGTCTCTGCACATCTTTCATTAGTTTCCACTCATAGAGTGGATCTTGTTATTTGATTACAAATCACTGTGGGTCCTTTCACCTTCCCATATTTCCATCTGATCCATATTGCTTATTAAAATTTTACCTCAACCACTCTTGCAATTTAGTTACAGTCAGTGACACCTGGTTTAAAAAAAAGAAAAGAACAACTCTGTGCTGGATCAATATAATGATTTTTATTTGTACTAAATACTTGGCAATGTCCAATTCAGTAGATTCTGCTACAGGAGTTACATCTCCAGACCTGTTCTTAGTGCAAGGTCAGCCATTGTATCTGGGGGTCACCCAGCCAATAGCAGAGGTCCTTCTGTTTCCCCTGCATTTCATCTTACCCCTCGTAGAGTTTTATAGTGCCTCTCTACTCCAGTTATATGTGTATTTCTCTCGGCCTCTCAATTCCACAGCCTAAATTCCCTGAAAGAGAGGGTCATTTCTCTACTGTGCGAGTGTTGAATTAGAGTCTACACGGTGGCAGGCCTGTGCCCGGGAAACGGGTGGACAGGGGTCTAGGTCCCAGCCATGTCAGAGCGGATAGGAGACAAACATCATACAGGAGATTCACAAGTAATTAATTGAGAATTATTGTAACACAACTACAAGGGAAGAGTATAAAGGGTCAGAAATCATACTTATCTTTGCCTTACTCTCTAATACCTAGTGTAGGGCCTCAGTAAAGACAAAGTGCAAAAGTGAGAATGCCGATGAATAAACAGAGAATGAGTGAATAAGGAATCCTAAAAATTAAGAGAAATTAATTAATCCATGTATTTTACATTATTTTAGTTTATCTTAGCTTCAATTACACTGACGTGCTGAGGATTTTCATTTATACTTTGATCAGCTCCACACAATAGGGGCCATAAACCCAGCCAGGTTTTCTGCCTGGTGGGCACGTTCAGGAGGATATACTGGATTTTCTTTCTCCGGTGCTGTCCCTTTGCTGTCATAGGCTGCATCTATCCCTAGAGCTGTGATGAAACTTGTCCAGTACAGGCTCGGCTCCTTCATGGAAGAAGAAAAAGGCTCCCTCCAAGGGCAATGCAGCCCAAGGCATGAAAAATGGACTGCTCTACAGAAGCCTCACACTTCCACTGGCCAGGAGCTCGGGGTGGGGAAGAACCTGCACAACCAGGCTGAGGTGAGTTTGGGAAATCCCACAAACTTCAGATTTACGTGAGGCCAGCCACTGCCCTGGTTTGTGAATCTGGGAGAAATGTGTGTTAAGTGTAAATCACTAGTGTAAGCCCTAGTGACAAGTCTCCACGTGACCCCCGAGGCACTGGTGCCCTCTCCCACGTTGCTGCATGTTCAGCATCATTCTAATGCTGTTGTTCTGGTTGGGATCAGTCACAGGTGGCACAGGGGTTAGGCTTGCTAGCCCAGCAACACTAGAGCAGACAGGGCTTCAAGGACGGAGGAGGACAGAGACAAGCCAATCACACTACCTAACTCTGCTTCCATTACTTTCATCACAGCGTCACCCCTATTAATATCCATGTGCTGGGATTCCCTCTGAGATTTCATTCAAAGAAGGGTTTAGGGGCTAGGCAAATGATGGAGGAACCTCCACACAGCACTCCTTTTTGTAGGGTATTTTTCTAGTACTTGTGGTTTTAGAACTCAAATTTGTAAAATCTTGGTTTCTACAGAACAGTCGGTCTGACCTCTTCAGTGGAGTGCTTTAAAGCAGTGATTTTCAAAATGCACTTTAAAGAACTCTTGGAATTTCTTCAGAGCTGCTTCACGGACGCTGGCGAAGAGACAGGAAATCCAACTGTTTGGGATCCCACAAGGTCACCCACACAGCATATGGAGTGTTTTACATACTCAGCCACCACACGGGCTTTTCGCAGTAAACAGTGTGTTCTGTGTGCATGTCTTGTCTCGGAAGCTAAGCTTTAGGATGATAAAAACCGGACTACATCTCCCCACCCCCTTCTCTAGCATCACCAAAGAAAGATCGGCTCTAATTTTGTGATAGCACGGACAGACCATTTTACAAGGAAGCTGTAGTAGTAGTAGAAACACACACAGGTAGGGGCGCTTGGGTGGCTCAGTCAGTTAAGCATCTGCCGCATCAGGTCATGAACTCAGAGTCCTGGGATCGAATCAGATTCCCTGACTCAGAGTCCCTGCTCAGACGGGAGTCTGCTTCTCCCTGTCTGCTTCTCCCTCTCCCTTTGCCCCTCCCCCCCACTCGTGCTCGAGCTCTCTCTCTCTCTCTCTTTCTCTCTCTCAAACAAATAAAAATAAAAATCTTAGAAAAGAAAAGAAGCAAACACATGTATAATGCCCGTCAGTGAACTAAAACGCTTCGAGAGGAGAATTCTAAGCTAGGCAAAGAGGACTCACGGCGAAATCGTGCAGCCCGAGGCATAGGCATGGTGTCCCGTGTAGCGGATTTCACAGCGCACAACGTTGTTGGAATAGTCCGATTCAGGCACCAGGTAGCTGGGGTTCACACTGACCTAGGCAACATAAACATCATCCATGTTTCCGATTTCATCAGCAGTGTTTGCTGGTTAATTTCTTCCTATTTCCACAGGGCTAGAACAAGGAAATGCTTCAACTCAATCAAGCAGGGAGGGTATTTAAAAAGTAAAGCAAGTGGTGAAATTCTGGAGAAGTTATAGAAGGAGGCTCTATATTTTCCCCCTGAAGTTCCTTAAAATATTTTTTTTCATATAGGTAGGTTGGTTTAGAAATATTTCTAGGAGACCTTGAATTGCTTGCAGGATTATGGTTATCTCACAATGAATTCACAAGGGGAAGCCCACTGAGTTGCAGTCGAAATAAATTAAAGGTTTCTATTTTCAAAGGTCTCTACCTTTAGAATGTAGTTTCCAGGTTTTACATCCGTAATGTCAATCCACTGGCAGTCTATGTCTGCATTATAGGTATCATAACAGCCAGGACTCAACCCCTAAAACAAATAAAATTTAAAAATGTAAAAAGATGGTATATGGTTAGAGTATGCTAAAGAATGTGCTTATTATTTGCAAATTAAATTTTAAGTTAGTACTTACAAGAGTTTGACATAAAACTATACTTATATTGCATCTCCTTTGAGAAGTACATATTACTCAGCCTTATAGCACCTCCAGCTAAAAAAAATACAGGACTAATATAAGTAGTAGTACATCTAGCTTCTTAAAAGTGTCATCAATCACCAGTGATAAATACAATCTTAAGTGACAGAATAGGCCTCCATCAAAATTCTAGAATATCACCAGTTCGGGAATAAAGGCCATGTAATAATCCACCTAACTCACATGTCCTCAGTACAAACCTTCCCACTTTCTCTTGGAAATCACCTTCCTTTACTCTGAATGCCCCGATTTTATAGTGTTTGTCCTCTAATGCTCTGTATTATAATGGTACCCTATAAGAATATATCCAACTACAGATTATAAACTCCCTGAGGCTGGAGTCTTTGTTGCATTTTTGAGTAGTTAACATTTATAAAGTATGTAGTATGTGCCAGGAACCATTTTAAACATGTTACACCTATAAATTCAGTTTTCACAAGTACGTGAGATAGGTGCTATTCTTATCCCCATTTTGCAGGTGAGGAAAATGAGTCATTTTAATGTTAATCAAGTCACTCGAGGATATATAGATAGTAAGTGGCTGAGCTGGCTTTCAGTTTAGATGTTGAGGGCCCAGGGTCCCTGGGTCCCCACCACACTATTCTCTTTCTCTCACTGCCACTGAAATATGTTATTGAATTAAAGGGATGAATTTATGTCTCAGTAAATCAATACCACCACATCACTCCACTTGCTAAGATACTCCCTTCAATAAGGAAATGAGTGCCTTCTACAGGCAGGGAGGAGAAAAATTCCAGTAAGATAGGGTCCTTGCTCTCCAGAGAGTTACAGTCTGGGGAAATTTGCTCAAATTGGAGTCCGTTGGTATATTCTTGATTCCATTAGTTCTTCTTGAGAAGTTTGAATTGTACTTTCATTCTAATACGAATCTAAAGGAAATTTAAAAGCATATGCTAGAATCATTTTAACTCATAACTTCCATTTCATTTCAGCCCCCAAAATTTCTTCAGTGCTTAAGATCACTTTGGTCACCAAAGAGATGTCAAGATCCTCTAAGCATATTCTAGCAACACTGGTGTGGCTCTTGCTGGATTGGGGAAGAAGGGCACAGCACCTGTGATCTCATTCAGCACACAATAGCACAGACAGGCCAAACTCAAAAGTACCTGTGCCTCAGCAGGGAGACCCATATGGAGATTTTTCAGTTTCTGGGCCCAGCACATCAATTCTGATTCTGGCACATACTAGATACTCAGTAAGCATTAGCTATTGTAGTTGTTGCTACTGCGCCTAACACCAAGTCCCACCACCTCCCATGGCGTTGTAACACCTCCATTCATTGGATGAGCTACGTATTTAAGACCTTTTAAACAATGCCACAATGCTGATCTTACCTTCAAGTGAACAAAAGAGCTTTAATGAGCGCTGAAATTGGTACTCCTGCTAGCAGGATTTAAGTTAAGTTTTAACTTTGATTATTTGAACTAGCGCACAAATAATGGGAATTTTTAAGGCTATTGAAAAATCAGGCATGTCCTGTATTCAAAATCGAACTTTAAAAACAGATGAAATGTAGAGACCCTTGGGGCGCCTGGGTGGCTCAGTCGGTTAAGCGTCTGCCTTTGGCTCAGGTCATGATTTCAGGGTCCTGGTATTGAGCCCCGCACCAGGCTCCCTGCTCAGTGAGGAACCTGCTTTTCCCTCTCCCCGCCCCCGACTCATGCTCTCTCTCTCTCTCTCAAATAAATAAAATCTTTAAAAAAAAAAAAAAAGAAAGAAATGTAGAGCCTTAACTAATGCTGTCTAAATTAGCTGTTTGGTTTTAGCAAAAGAGAAGCGGTGGTTACATTAAATTAATGAAGTTAATGTAACTGTTTCTAGTGTCATATATGTTGAAAATGTAAATTTGTTATCTAAGAATTAAGAGTTATATGGAAGTATAGATATAAGGAAGTGATATCTACTTTTATATTTGGATACATTCAAACAACATTGTAATACAACTATTCTAAGTCAACATTGGGGTTTTGTGAGAGTTGTTTTGCCCCTTTAAGTGAAGTCCATATTCAAGAAACACCAGTCTAGTGAAAAACACAAATACATCAATCACTTGCAATGCAAGACCTGGTGAACAGTGGTTTAAATAGGACATAAACGGAAGATGATTAATAAGAAAGCTACCATAGAAAATGAAGTGGGGTCACCCCAAGGAACTGGAAGACTAGAAAAGCTATAAATACCTAGAGACCTAAATTTAAATATTTCAACAGAGAGCTGTCCAGAGTGCCTCTTTTTCTAAATGAAAAGAATAAACGCCAGAGCCTCTGCATAGGAGATCTCTGCGGAGATCGCTGAGCGAAAAGGGGATCTCTCTGCCCACATACGTGTAATGTGTGGGTAGGTTGCCTCAACTTTTAGTTAAAGGGTAAGTGCTGCCCCCAGAGCATGTGGAATTGAACCTCTTCCCCCTCCCATTGCTCTGATGTTTTAAGTTCAGAGAAAGAAACAGCGGTAACATTTAGGTCACTAAAAAGCTTCTAGCCACAGCCCCGGAATTTGCTCCCCGAGATGCTAGCTGCTGATCCTTTCCTGCCCTGCGTTATGTACGTTCACTGCTCCTTGCCAGAATTTCGGCTGCACTAAAATTACAACGTCCTCTTACAAATGAGGGTGTCTTGTGGAAATACTGGCATGGCTTTTAACTGACACACATTTTCCCATTTATAAGACATACACACTGCTTAGGTCAGCACTATTTTTAAAAATCCATCCAAAGGACATCTGACATCAATTATACTGTAGGTTTAACTACATATGCGTGGAGAAAGAAATTGTGTCCTTCTGCTCCCATTTGCATGCTTGAAAGAGACTGGTTTTAAAGTGCTTTTTAAGAAACTTAAGTTCTCTCTTTTCTAACCCCAATCACCATTCTCTCTCTAGCTTAAGAGGTGGAGGGAGGAATGGTTTTGAAGGTGAGAACACAGAAGTGTCTTCACCGTTATTTACCAAGCCAGTTAAAGAGTACAGAATGAGTGCAGATCCTGGACACCAGTCAGATTTGTTCAGGGACTAAACCGCTTCTTTCTACTGTGAAACATAGCGACTATGCACATTCACCTTCTATGATGATGAAATTCTTTAAAAATAATTTGAATCTGGGGAGCCTGGGTGGCTCAGTCACTTAAGCGTCCAACTCTTGATTTCAGTTCAGGTCATGATCTCAGGGTTGTGAGATCAAGCCCCATGTCGGGGCTCCACTGTGGGCGTGGAGCCTGCTTGAGATTCTCTCTCTCCCTCTCCTTCTGCCCTTCCCCACCCTTTCTCTCCCTCTCTAAAAATAAATACATTAATTATAATAATTTGAATCATCAAGTGACCATCTTCCTTTTCCCAATTATTTTCCATCTTGACCAGATGACCCCCTAAATCAAACAGTTTATATAAAAAAGACTGGCAGGAGGAAAGAAAAAGAGAAGACCACACTGTTTTCTCTCTGAAGCCTGAGGGGTTCCTGAGGTCAGGGGGCCAACCCACCTGTGTATGCGCAGTACATGCAAATCGCCTGTGGTAGCCATAGTCACAGGATGTGTCCTCAAGACAGAAACTGGCTTTGTGGCCTTCAGCCACTCTCCTCTGGGTACCAGCATCAAGTAGGTCATAGTGGCTGAATTCATCCATGCTGTGGTAATGTCTGATGTCCCACACAACACAGAGACAGAGATCAGTAACATACGGAGAAAGGCATGAGGACTTTAGATGACTTCCCCACTGCCTCCCACACTTGTTTTCACATTACAATTGAGATCCAGTTTATCTTCTTAAAGCTAGATTCATGCTAGCTTTTTTTTTCCCCCAGGAAGAGCCATCTATCAGAACTGTAAGCCTTTAAACTTGCTTCTAGGAAAAAAGGACTTCTTTTGAGTATTTTGTTTTCCTATTCCACCCTGTTTTATCTTTGAATATTAATTAGAAATAGACACTAAATGATCTGTGTTTAAGTAAAACCTGCCATATGCTCTCTAGTCTGTTTCTTTTGGCTTCCAGTACTGATGTTTCATTCCAAATAAAAGAAGAGCACATGATTCTTGGGAGGTTTCTATGAGATTTTAAAAAAATGTAAAACTATTACTAAAATGCAAGGGAGAAGTACTGGTATGTTTCCCCCATCATTATTATTTAACTAGTATAAATTTTATTTAGAAATAAAATAATTCTATTTTATCAAAAAATTAGGTGTTCTTATCTGCTTTTCTCATTTCATTAAAGGAAAGGTGCTGAGCCATGTATCTTCTCACATAAGGAAAGAACAAGAAAAAATTGCTCAAATTGCAGAAGGTTTCAGGGTATCCATCAGGATTTCCTGGCATTACCAGGATTCCCGGGCAAGTTACCAAGGCAAATTATAGAATCACCTTATATAGAGATCTTTAAATTTAGGACAGAACAGATAATTACCCTGGGTTTAACACAGGCATTTTAAAAGATAGAGGTAGGTCCTTCTCAGCTCATGGAGTATATCATCTCTATCTTTCTTTGAGGTTGGTGTATGAATCCTTCTGATAACAACTTGTAGTTTTTATTAAATGCTAACTAGGGCGCCTGGGTGGCTCAGTCAGTTAAGCGTCTGCCTTTGGCTCAGGTCATGATCCCGGGGTCCTGGGATGGAGCCCCGAATCAGACTCCCTGCTAAGCAGGGAGTCTGCTTCTCCCTCTGCCCCTCCTCCCACTGGTTCTCTCAATTTCCCTCTCTCTCTCTCAAATAAGTAAATAAAATCTTTAAAAAAAATACTAACTGTAGATGATTTTGGCTATAACAAGCTTTTTTTAGAAATCTTACCTGTAATATATTGGAATAAAAATCTGGTGAAGCCAATTGCTGGAACGTATCAGCAATTTTAATGAACTGGACTTAGAATTTCCATTTTGAAAACAGGATCTGGTAGTTGATGTATTTTCTTAAAGAAAGACTCCCTTGATGATGTCACATTACACAGAGAAATTTCTAGAAATAAGACTTTGCATTTGTACATCAAGAACTACCTGAAAAAGGAAGAGGCAACTCGGAAGTACCCAGGAGGCCCATCCACTTACTGGTGACAACTGTGCCATTCCCAGGAATATCTCGGTCGGCTTGGTAAGAAATCTGATGTCCCTTGGTTTTTCACTCTTTGGGGGAATCTTAGCAGCACCCTGTGATCATAATCTCTGACATCTGCTCTGTATGCTGTGCTGTGATTTTGAAAAAGAAAACATTACTTTCACAGGATATTAACTGAAGACAAATTCCAAGCAAAACCATTTCCATTTTACAATAGCAACTACCTCCCACCTCCAACTAGACTATCAGTTGCAAGAGGCGTTTTGCTTATTTTGTTTATTGCTGAATCTCCAGGTCCTAGAACAGTGCCTGGCAAGTGGCCAAAGTTCAGTGAATATTTGTTGAATAAGTGAATAAATGACAACTATGGAAATCTGCAGTAAAGTGTGAAAAAGGATAATAAAATTAGCACTACAAATGTACATGTGATAAGTAAATTCTGTATTTATAATCAGTTCTTGTTTAACCACGTGAATGAGTAGAAAGTATCCCAAATAAAAAAAAAAAAATCCTATGTACTTATTAAGAACTTTGAATTCATCAATAGGTTTCTTCTTAAACACTTTCCTAAGATGTAAAGTGGAGAAATAATTCTAGAAGCATACACCCAGATTAGATAAATAATTTGTAACTTCGCTATCTTGAAAACAATGGCATGACTGTAATAATATCCTAGGGAGTGCAATGGAGGGAGTGATGCAAGACTTAAGAATGAAAATGGTAAGTTCGGTTTTCTTCTCTTCCTTTAGCCTGACAGTTCTAAAGGGTCAGAGAGGGAGAAATATACAACTGAACAGATAAATATTACTCTGTCCCTTCTAACGTATTTTGTGTGAATATATATATTCACATACTGTTGAGTATTTTCACTTTCCACTTGAAAAATTTTTATGAGACCTATCAGAACATCTTTTGCTCCCTCTGCTGGTTTCCCAGAAGCAAAGTCAGAGAATTCCATTCCCCAAACTGCTATGATTTTATTTTAGCACTGATTCAAAAACAAAGCTCTTGCTCATGCTCTTATTCTGGCTGAAGTAATACCAAAACAACTAAGTCAAATTGTGGCCTCAAACAAAAGATGAAAACCTAACCTTTGCTGATGAGGGGTGCCCCACTGGCAAGTTAGCCCTCTGTTTTTTTAAGGGGTCACTGACAAGCTCTTCCATTACAATATTTTTTCCACGTTATTGTACAGTTCTTTAATAGAAAGTTATGGGAAACCATTGGCTCCAAAGTTTGAGGATCTTGGAAAAAGAATGTGAGATCCCAACTCTCCAGGATAAGGATTCGCCCCCACCTCCCTGATTTGTGTCACAGTTTGAAAGACAGAACCCACAGAAATCTTCAAAATGTTAACTCTCCATCCAGGTCCGCATGCCCAGGAGACCACATTCCACTTCGCAGCTCTTGCCCCATTTCCCAACTCTTGTCTGCATGGACCGAGAGCGGTCAGACCAGGCACAAGACCAGCGCCTGAAGCGAGATGGGGCAGCGAGGCCGCGGAGATCCCAGCCAGTACCTGGCCAAGCAGTTTTCCTCCGCAGCGCATCTCAGGTTGTACATGGCCATCTTTTGCACGTACGTGGACGCCTGGATGTAGTACGGGTCTGGCACCAGGTCCGGGAGACCTAAACGTCAGGAGGCGATGGGGGGGGTAGCGGTGAGACAACCCAGTGGCCCCTACCCCGGCTCCGGGTCCCTCCGTGTCCCTTACTCTTCACCCTTCACCCAACCGGGCTGCGGGTAGCAGGAGAACGGGGGACGCCCAGGGCTGCAAAGCAAAGTGGAAAGAAAGCAGGAGGGGCCAGGCGCGCGGTTTGCACCAGATTCCAGGGCTGCCTTTGCAGGCGCAGGGGGAGGGAATCGGATCAGCGGGACTAAGGCCTGCCGCGCCCAGGCAGCCACGTTGGGGAGCCACAGCGTTGGGGAAGGGGTGCGCGGCTGCTTCCTGAGACTTGGGGGGTGCTTACCGTACTGGAAATAGCCGGTGCCGTATCCGGGCCGGTACCTGCTCCCGGGCCGGGGCCTTTCGTACGTGTCGTAGTAGTTGTAATAGGGGTTGTCGTCGGAGTACTTGTAGGGGTTGTACGGGTCGTCGCCCACCATGCCGTCTACGCGGCTGGGCGGCTGCAGGTTACTGAGCGTCGGGCGCTCTCCGGGAGCCGTCCGGTTGCCGTCGCGCGAGTCCCCAGCGTCGCGGGCCCCGGACGACGAGTAGCCAGCTTGGAACCAATGGCGGGCGGCGGGTCTGGGTCGGCCGGCGACCCCCGACATGCCTGCAGTGCGCTCGCGTGCTGCCGCCGTGCGGTTGCGGAGCAGCAGGATCGGCGTGCGCGGCTGCGGGGCTGCGGCGTTGGCAGCGCCCGGGGCGGTGGTGCCCGGGTCCCGTCGGCGCTGCGGCTGGTACTGCGAGCCCAGGCTCAGCAGGCTGAACACCTGCCCGTTGTTCTCCCATTGGATCCTCTGGCGCCAGGCGGCCGGAGCCGGCGGCTGCTGGCGAGGGGGCTGCTGCTGGCCGGCGGCCGGCGGGGCGCAGCGCAGGAGCGCGCAGAGCTGCAGGGGCCCGAGCAGGAGCGCGGTCCAGGCGAAGCGCATCGCTCCCTTTGCCTGATTGTCCCCACTCCGGGAGGACTAGGTCGGAGAAAAGAAAAACGGGGCCCAGATCACGTGAAGGAGGGAGAAATCTTCAACCAGGGAGGCGGGCGGAGCGCGGGTAACTCAGTCACTACAAGCAGGGCCAAGGGTGGGCTGCAGACCCTTGTCCTGTAGAGGCGGCTGCTGGGACGTGGCACCCGCCTGTCTCCTCTTTCCCAGTCCTTCTGGAAGGCGACGGGGAGCGGCGCGGCGGCCCCGGCGAGCGGGCAGCGTCTGGAGTGAAGGAAGGAGGAGAGATTTTAAACTTTCTGGCACGTTTGCAAAGTTACACAAGCAGTTCTGGCCCGGCAGCCCCTCCGCTATTTGTTCACGTAATGCGATTGGAAACGTGCAAGGCGGACAGCTCCTCGCCTCTGCCCCTCCCTCCCCGTCCTGTCCTCCTCCCCCCAGACACGTTGCACAGGGAGCGTTAAGGGGAAAGAACAAAACGGAACACACATCCTGAGACACACTCGGCTTAATCTGGGGCGAACATGCAGGAATTTCAAAAGACTCAGACAGGCGAAGGCAGCCAGGCCATGGGGCGACGCCAAAATATGCATGAAGAAAAATGCTATTAGGTCACCAGCCCTGGAGAGGCGGGAAGTCGGGAGGTGGGGAGGGTGCTGGGGGCGAGAGTCGGGGAGGGGGCGGGGAGGGATGCTTGTGACTAACGTTTATCCATAAGGAGTTAACCAGACAAATTTCCCAATGCATACCCACTCGCTTTTATGGGAAGCGCCCTCAGCAAATAAACCCCGGGATATCAAATTTTGTTTTTCTTTGTGTAGGTAATGTGAGAAATGGGTTACAAATTTGTTTCCTACAGTGAGTATTTTAATAACCAAAAGTGAAATTTTACAGGGAACAAAGCCATCTAACACTGAAGGGATGAGTAAACCTGTCTCTTTTTCAAAATGCCGGCCTGATTTGTACTTTGACTGGGAGCGGAAAACCTCTTTCATCTGGACGGTATCTACCAGGACATTTCAGTAAAGGGGGCTATACCAAGTCTGCCTAGAATCGCACTCAGAAGGCAGCTTCAAAGAAGCATTTTACATGACTTTTCTCATCCTACATCCGATGAGGAGGTTTGACTTCGGATTAAAAAATAATAATAATAAATCCTTTAAATCATCGTTTGTTAAATTTTTGAAAAGTCAGTCAAACATCCTATGGTGTTTGGGTGATCTTCCAATGTAAGCAAAGGGGTTTCTGAAGAAACAGCCTGGGTGTTCAGATTCTGTTAAGGACAGGGGAGTGGGAGGGGCCAGACAAGAATGGGGGGCAGATGGGTAGTAGGCAGGTAATGCCAACTGGAAAGGGATGCTTAATGGGCCTGTTATTCACATACCACACAGGGTTGGGGCAGTGTGGGAAACATTTCAAAGAAAAAAAGTCTTTAACTAGCCTGATTTAAAACTGTGACTCAGAACCAGATTTTAATAACCTTTTTATTGGTTTCATCATTGGGCTGTTGTCTAAATAGACTTCATTATTCGCCTCTTCGTGTTGATCTCTGTCTCCCCACATTTAATCACCCCGTTTTGATGATGTGGACAGCTGCTGATCTGAATGCTTAGCATCCATTTTCCCTTTTCTCTAGCAAGAACAACTGTATTTTCCTTTGGGAAAAATCCCCTACCCAGTTGCATGGTAGGACTGACTGAGCATTCATGAGACTTCTGCCTCTTCAAGCAGTGGCAGTGAGATCCCAGTTTGGCTCATCAAACCATCTCCCTACCATTGGAATCATGAGCAGATGGACACAAGGCTCAAAAATGCTGGAGCTCACACTCCCCGCTACTGAAGAAAGTTTCTACGAGTTCTTGCTACACAGATTCCCCCTGAGCTCTTTCAGACCTGTACCTTCCAAGGCGTGATTGTTCAGCTTTTCCTTCCTTTTCTCCATTGCAGTCCTTTGTGGCTTGACACTGTCAGAGTCAATTGCTGTTGGTTGCCACTTTAAGAACCTGGACTGAGGGCGCCTGGGTGGCTCAGTTGGTTAAGCGACTGCCTTCGGCTCAGGTCATGATCCTGGAGTCCCAGGATCGAGTCCCGCATCGGGCTCCCTGCTCGGCAGGGAGCCTGCTTCTGCCTCTGACCCTCCCCCCTCTCATGTGCTCTCTCTCTCATTCTCTCTGCCTCAAATAAATAAATAAAATCTTTAAAAAAAAAAAAAAGAACCTGGACTGATACTGAGGGGGATTGTGATTGGTTCTCTGAGCTAATCAGACCTCATGATTCTGCATCCAACACACAGGATGGGTTTGGCTCTTTTTGAGTCAAGTTAGATTTGCTCTGCCCATGACCTCACAGCATCCTTGGTTACAGAAGAGTTCCAGATGGAAGCTTGCCGGTAGATTGATGAATCTGTTGCTTATATGATGAAGGCAAAATCCAAGTGCACATCCCACTCATGGCAGGTGAACAGCGCCCCATCTGTGTCTGAAAGTCAGAGACATTTTGTAGACTTGCCGCAGAACTTAAAATCAAAGTACTCGATGTCTCCAAACCCACTAAGAGAAGATGGAGGAAAAAAGAAGCAGGTGTATATAATTTGGATGGACAGGCCAAATGATAGGGGAAGCAGAAGGGAGAGAGTGTAATTATCTCTCATCTCTCCTCTGCCCATGAATAGCTTATTCCCCAGAAAGAGAATCCTGTAACTGCTAGCGCTTGACCACACATCGCTGAGGGAAGATCTTTTCTGTGGAGAGGATACTGTCAGATTGGTAGACCAGAGCAACCCCTAATGGGAGGGTAGAAAGTTTATGCTGGATGCTAGTTAAAATACCCTTGTTTCCCATCCTGGTGCTCAAATAAAAAAAAAATAAAAATAAATAAAAAAAAGCTCTGTATCTTTGAACACCTGATTTACTTTCCCTGGCTCTTTGTTATCTGTAGGATTCAAGGATTAACTCAAATTCTTTTCAAAGTGTTTTTCCTAGTCTTAAAGCCACTGATTTTTGTGAATGTCTAAGTAATTCCAGCGACTTTCCATTTATTCACTATAATGTTGCATTATGATCATTAATATTTCATTAAATAACTCCTTTAGTTGGACTTTAAAACGTTGGGTGTATTTTATGTGTGAGTTAGAGTCTGCAGACTGCTATTTTCCCTTTTTACGTATTTCCCTTCAGTGAAATTCAGTATACATTTTTGCTTTACACATGTCTCTTGATCACACTTACGCTGTGAAGTGTGGTACACCATCGTGTTGATTTACACACATGAACACTCAATGAGTGTCAACTGATTCCCTCATTTGCAGAATTTATAGCTGAATGAGCTTTATCATTTGTTTCAGATTTGCTCTAACAGACTTAAAAATGTATTATCAGAGTATAAATAACTAGAACAGTAGTGGTATGCAATATTTATTTTCTTTTAAACACACACACAGTACTTTAGGGAAGAAAACATATTACCCTTTGTCACTCATCCTAGTAAGATGTTTAGCTGGTTTTCTCTCTCTTCCGCTTTCTCTAAACTCTCTCTGGCCGAAGACTCAGCCAAGTGAAAACAAAGATATGGCTACCACATGGGGGGCAGTTGAAAGTATGTGCAAGGCCTGTAGGGGATACTGTGACCACAAACGGCACTCTCTGTGCAATGACAAAACTACACTGCCTTCTAATCAATACTGAGACAACAAAAACAACAATGGCAGCTGTATCAGAACACCTTCAGCTTTTTAGCTTTGGTAAGAGCCATAACTGATTGCACTCTGACCTTGAGACTTTCTTTTCATGGACCGTTCTGCAGTATAGACCATATGAAGAGGAGTATTGAAATGAAACTAATTCTATTTTTTAGGTTCTAGACTATCGTTATCGAGAATTTTTTAAAATTGTATTTATTTTTTTTTAAAGATTTTATTTATTTCTCTGAGAGAGAAAGAGCAAGAGCTGGAGAGGGAAAGGGTGATGGACGGAGGGAGAGGGAGAAGCAGACTCCCCGCTGAGCAGGGAACCCAATGCTGGGGCTCCAACCCAGCACCCTGGGATCAGGGCCTGAGCCGAAGGCAGATGCTTAACTGACTGAGCCACCCAGGCCCTGCCCCTTAAATTTTATTTTTGAGTAATCTCTATACCCAGCGTAGGGTTCGAACTCACAACCCCGACTTGCATGCTCTACCAGGTGAGCCAACCAGGCAACCCATTCAATATCAAGAATTTAAACTGAAACAATGTTTGGCCCATTGACCAAGAAGTGGAATTTGTCATAAAGCCGTGTTCATAATATTTGTTCACTGTATTTATAGTTGTGGGATAATTCATAGAAGTGGAAAGTAGAATTATGCAGAAAGCCTAAACCATAGAACAGTGCCCCTTGAATGACCAGGGCCAGAATACTAAAGAACTCTAGGTTGAATATAAGTTCTTTTGTTTGGGGATCAGAAAGCTTTTATCAGCCTTGTTCTTTAGTAAAAATGAATGCTCTTATGTGCTTTGGTGCCATGTAGTTTGGAAAACATCACAGAAAATAAAATAAAGGACGTGGGAAGTTGGAGGTGTGTAGGGGGGAGATGATTGAGAAAAGAGGAAGGTATGACATCAACACAAGGGGGATGGCTTGAGAGACGAATAAGGAGCACATTTTTAAAAATTAATTCAGAAAGGATAGCAGAGTGAAACAAAGAACTGGAACTCATTTTACTTAGAGTAAAATGGAGGAGAAGAGTGAGTTAGTCTTCAAGTTTACAGTGCTCTTGTGTTTCCTTTTCATTCTTGTCTCCTGCCACATACCACTTCCAGGTACTCATCCAAATATAAAAAGTAGACAGTTGGTACACACTTGTCTGTGTGTCAAGAATGGCCTGAAAAAAAAATTCTGTAAACAGACTAAGTAGAAGAATTCCAGAAATAATGAATTTTAAATATATCTTCTTTGGTTACCCATCCCCTTGGGCCACCTAGGGAATGGAAATGTGGAACTTAACCGTAGGGAATTGAAAAGTATTTCATTCTAGTGTTTTTCTGCATATTCATATGTGATTAAGTAAATAATGGTAGTCATTATAATGAAATGGAAAAATGAGAAGAGATGAACTTACGATAGGAGAATGGCTCTTTGAAATTGACTGAATCAGAGTTCAAAGTAATTTGGTGATAGTGACCATAAAAATAAGGGGTCAGCCAGTTGGCAAAACTGCCTACAAGTGAAGTCCAAGTGATTGGATTGGGCTTGATGGACAGTCCAATGACAAAGAAGCAACTGTTCTTCATGCCATGCAGTGTATTAGGGTCATTCCTGTTTCTAATGGAGAGCGTAATGTGCTCCCTGGTCCAGTCCTGTCCTACCTGCCCCTCCACTCTTCCTGGATTCAGCTTCACTGCCAGAGAACGCTGGAAGTCATTTAGTTTCATATAACCTAGGTGTGATCCTCTGAGATGGTGGGATAGAGGTTAGGAGGACATTTACGCTTAACTAGGGCATCTCCTTCATCTGCCTATCACTTGCAATGATTGAAGCCAACCTGTCATCTCTCTTTTTAACTTAACCCTAGGTGTCCTGCTTTCTTTTGGGGCCCAGGAGGAACAAGATGACAAAGTACTAACAACCTAATGCAAATTATATGGAGTTGTGGTTTTTTTTTTTTTCTCCCCTCCCCTATAAAAGAATATATCTCAGAACATTTGAGTGTTATGGGTGTTTGGAATAGAGGCAGAATAGAAGGAAGATATTGGTGGGGCTATGAAGAGAAAAACCTGTTTCCTAACTGTACTTGAGGTCAGTTTTGAGAATCATAGTTCTTTCTCTTTTTGTTATTATTGGAATGCTACTCATTGAGACCATCTTGCTTCCTCTTGATTATATGGCATCTTAAGCACAGAATCAAAGATTTATGTGTAATGGTTCTTAAAGCAGTGAGAGTCTCTTAAAGCAGGCCCAGTTAGGACATTGTTGTAGAGATGTATTTCTTTGCCTTCTACCTGTTTTGTTTTCTTACCTTTCAACTATTAGTGGATCATAGTCATTTCTTCCAGAAGGTAGCTAATAAAAAGAGAAAAAATGAAGCTCATAAAGTCTCTGGGAACAGTGTCTCATATAGGTCTCCTAACGGCACTAGACAGTTTGACCATTCCTCTGGGCTGCTTATGGGAACAAGACAGGTTTTTCTGCCAATGACATATCTTTTATACTCTATTGTCCATGGTCTATGTAAGATTTGGGAAATAATTAATACAAGGTATTAATGGTATATTGGAAAATATTCAATGGAAATATTAAATACCAAGTGAAAAATCTTAAATGAATGTATATAACCTCAAAATGATCTGCAGCTAAGGAATCGCCAATGCCAAAATAATCAAGTTGACTACTGAGGGCCTTTCCAAGCTTGCTAAATTGGTCTGTAGTAGAGGAAGGAAATAATAAGGAAATATGCAACAATAAGAAAAATATGCACCCTCTCTAACAGGACAATACCTGTCCTCTCATTAATAATACACATTTCTATTTCTTGTCATTTACTGTGTTCTTGGCACAATGCTGAATGCTTAAGTGCATTACCTCATCTTATCCTCACAACACCCCGTGAAAGTGGTTATTAATACTTTATGGATAAAGCAATGAAACTTAGAGAGATAAAGTGACATGCTCAGTTAAAAATTGGCAGAGCTAGATCTTGAACCCAGATCTATCCTATTAAACACACACCATATTAAACTCTTGCCATGTGAAGTAGAGGGGAGCTATTAGGGTTTTTTTTTTTTTTAATTTTCATTGTTTTAATGATTGGAGAAATTTGGCTGAACGATTCATTCAAGGCTACATGACAAGGAGATTATGGCCAAGGCAAATTAATAAGTAGACTAGCAATCATTACTTACCTAGTGCCTCTAGGTAAATGGCTTTGGAATAGGTGTGATATACAAGTCAACTGGAAGATGACATGTAGTAGGGTGATAGAGACAGACAGTCCTTGGAGAAACTCTTACCTCTACTGTTTACTAACAGGGAGTTCTTGGACGAGTTCCTTAACTCTTCTGAGACTCAAGTTT